GTAGTATCGAGGAGACGCCTGCGCGTTTGCTGTTGTAGGGGCCTAAATTGACACTACCGCAAAACCCCTAGGTAACAGCCAGTCACAACCTGTGGAGAGAGGGAGAGAGAGAGAAGGCAGCGTCGAAAGGCAACACGAGCGTTTATTCGCGTCACGTCAGTCAAGTCGAGTCGCGTAAAACCGAGTGACTAGCTTCTGTGTGCGTATCGATACGCGTGCGTGGTAGCAGGCGACTGACAACGAGAGCCAATAACAAGGAGGGTGAGTCATTGGTGTGGTAGTCGGGCAGGCAGACAGGCAGGCAGGCATACACGCAGCACTCACGCGCGCGCGCGGCGGCGGCTCTCTGTCCACAACAGTCCATTCACGATAGAGAATCCGGTGATTGGTGTTCCCTCGCGCTTGCAAACTGCGTTCGCTCACGAATACTAACTGTGCTGCTGCTGCTGGCTTGTTGGTCGCCACACTATCTTTGACGGTGAGTTTGCACCGTCTGTCTGGCACTTTGTTGGGAGACGTTTGTGCTTCTTACATTCATTATGATGTAGGTGGCGGCGGCATCTACATGCTTGGTAGTGGAAGTGACGATAACCGGGTCGATCGAATAAACCCCCTGGATGGTAGCGTCTCCAGCGCACCTTCGATGACACTGCCCCGACGACGACGACGACGACGTCCATCTGCTGCGCAACTGACAGACGCCTTCTGGTCTTCGGTGGAGATAACGGTTTGTGGCTGGCATCCTCCTGTGTGAGCGGCATTTGACTCCATTACAAACCAGTTAGTTTGTGTTCAACTCGTACTTGCGAAGGTTTACAACTTTTTCACATCAGTAAATCACCTTTCCAGTCAAGGTGGACGGTGCTGCCGGACATGCCGACGCCACGGTCAGCAAGTGCTGCGGCGGTGAACGTGTACCTGACGTGGGTGTCGTCGTAGCCGGTGGATGGGTGAGTGAGTGGGTGGGACGCGAGTAGGCGTTTCACCTCCATCAGCGCGAAACTGCTGGCCCGACGGCTGCTCCTAGACCCGTCTGGTCTCCATGCTCGACGACGCAAGGCTGTGCCCGGGTGTGGCCTTTCTCCAAAGCCGCCGCCGCCTCCGCGTCGTATTCGCAGGTGGAAATGACTGCAGGAGCACCATCTTCGAGTGCCTACCACTGAAACCTGATGGCCATCATCCTGGTCAGTGGACAGGACTCGCTTCGCCGCAATTGCTCGATGCGTGGCTCCATTCTCCAGCCGTATTTCGGGAGCTGCTACTCCTAGTAGTAAGTGGGTTGTCATCTCATAAACCGATGTTTTTTCACCGTAGTATTCTGCTCTCGTTCGCGTACTTGGAAGACGCCATTTCATTCGTAGCTCTTCTTGCCTCATTTCGTATTCACAGGCCGATGGTAAAGTATGGCGGTGCTCTCCAGCCCTACCCAGTCACTCTGCATTGGCAATTTTTCTATTTTTCCCTCCATTTTTGCTATGCTTTTCGCATTTTAGGGCTCTTCCTTCGACGAGACCACTTGTCCAATTCGAAAGTATTTCTAAGCTAAAGCTTCTAATGTTATCGCAATGGAGCTATGCCCTCTGTACACTCTTCACTTGAGTTAAATACACGATGTACAACTGGAATTAGGAGCGATTTCTTGTTCTCTTTGTACCTAAATGGAATAGTGGAACAGGGGTGGACCTTCCCAAGTCCGACGACGCTCTTGG